ACAACATGCTCTGTTCTGCTTGGATGATTGAATTTGAACTTAGATGTAAACAGAAAATATATAAGGACTTAATTCCCTGTTTAACCAAAATTCTCCTTGCATATGTTTTTATCAATGACATTGCTGTAACAGTAACTGCTCAAAATATCGTTCTGAACAAGCCTTACTAGTACAGGGTAAACACATTTCTGGCTGGACTGTTCTGTGTAATTATTCTTTTGCACCTGTAGCCCTGACAAATGCCCTTTCTCTTTCTCTGCTTGACGTCACTCACACTAGAACAATAGTTTCATAAGCCAAATAGCACCATTATTTCAGTTTAGAGCTATGTAATGTAATGTGTATTTATACAGCGCATTCATTGAATGATTGGGAGGCCATGATCGCAAGGCCTGACAGAGGCCAGGACACCGGGGTTACACCCCTGCTCATTACGAGAAGTGCTGTGGGATTTTTAATGACCACAGAGAGTCAGGACCTTGGTTTAACGTCTCATCCAAAAGACGAGAGCTAGTGCATTTATATCTTGTTGGGTGAATATATTTTAATTTAAAGAATCCATATTAGCATAGAGGGCAGCACGGTGGCTCAGTGGTTATCAATGTCGCCTCACAGAAAGAAGGCCATTGGGCAAGTTTGCATTTTTGTGTGGAGTTTGCATGTTCTCTCAAAAAAGTCTGGCTGCAGATTTGCACTTGCACTTTCAGGCTTGCACTCTCGGACTTGCACATTTGCAATCGCCACCCGTGCCCACTTGCAGGAAAGTCCTTCAGTCATTTAAAGGGCACCTAGTCCTTACTCCTTATCAGTGGTGTAAAGTAACTAATTACAAACATTAAAATTACTGTAATTAGTTACTTTTTCTCATGAATTGTAATTTACTGAGTAGTTTTAAAAATGTGTACTTTTACTCTCACTTGAGTACATTTTTAGTGCAGTAACTGTACTTTTACTCCACTACTTTCCTCCAACCTGCAGTCACTACTTCATTTTTTCTTGTCTTTGGGGATTAGAAACATCAGTCGTGTAATTCCCGTCTAATCAAATCACACAAGGAAGGTAAATCGCCTCATATTGAACTACCTCAAGACATGGGCGATTTATAAATGCAGCAAACTGTTTGGAAGCATTAAAAGTGTCCAAGAAGATGTCCAAAATCTTAACACGCGTTGACCCAGAGACTGTTTAGATGCATGTCACTGATGAGAAGATGACAGATGTTTACTGTATGGGGACCGAAATGGCCTTAAACACCCAGCAAGCACAAGACATCAACATGACCTAAGATTGAAGTTGTACCCCATTGTCGGTGGGATGTTGAATTTTGTTTGGTATTTACTATGATCTTCTATGTAAAGCTGCTTTGAAACAATTTACAATGTAAAGCGCCATACAAATAAAGGTGAATTAAATTGAAATGAAAATCGGGTTGACGTCAGAACTCAATGTCAGACCAACGTCAATGTCCAACCGAAGACCAACCACATATCAACATCTAATGACGTCACAGCTTGAATTTGTGTCAACAATACCACTATGACATCTATCAGATGTTGGATTTTGGTTGCCATACCTGGTGAATAAATATCAGTATTTGACGTCAATATGATGTTGGTTTAAGATGTTGGCTCAATGTTGGATTTTGGTCACTTTCTAACAACCTAAAATCAACCAAATATTAACGTCATGTAACGTTGTTGTTAAACATCAAAATAACGTTATCGATAGATGCTGGCTAGACATTGAATTTTTGGTCACTTGACATCACAACCTAAATCTAACCTAATATTAACGTCCTATGACGTTGTGCGCCTGCTGGGCAATAACTAAATGCACTACAGAATGTTACGTTTACACACATCCACAAATTACATGTAAATGCATCAGCTTTTTACAGCGTAATACTCACTACTCACTACTCATGAGCACTTTTAAAAGGGCTACTTTTTACTAATTCTTTGAGTAATATTTACAACAGATACATTTACTCTACTTACACTACATTTTTAGGCAAGTAGTGGTACTTTTACTTGAGTATGATTTTTCAGCACTCTTTCCACCACTGCTCCTTATTTGCGTCTAACACCACAGTTTGTCATTGGGGCATGAATGAAATGTTCACGAGTGAAGGTGAAACTGCCGAACTGCAGTTAAGGTCACCCAAAATAACAAGAAACTCTTCCATGAAAGCACTTCACGTAAACACCTTAATTATATTATTGTCTATTAAGGCAAATAACTAGATTACAGATGTCCATGCCAACGTAGTCAGTAGTGTCTTCGAAGTAAGTGAAAGATTCAGAAGGGCATTGAATTGAAATTTTTTATCAGACGGTTTGGCTTTCATTCATCGTCATTGATTTTTTACTTGAACGCATAAACTCTAGAGGTGCCTGATAGTTAGATGTGAAGCTAACATTATTCAGATTCACTCTAGTGAACTGCATCCATGTTAGCACATCACGTTTGATGTGGTAATTTCACAGTAGGAATACACACAGGTTTGAAGACTCATTCTCGCCACCTACAGTGCAATTCAGTCAGGTATACATCCACGCTAAAAAAGAGAAAGGTAACAATAGTTAAAAGTGAAAGTCATCATTGCTTGCGTAGAACAGACCCAGCTGATAGATAGATAGATAGATAGATAGATAGATAGATAGATAGATAGATAGATAGATAGATAGATAGATAGATAGATAGATAGATAGATAGATAGATAGATAGATAGATAGATAGGCAATAGGCAGGCAGGCAGGCAGACAGACAGATACTCTTTAAATAAACTGCTAATTTAAATGCTTCAAACTCTAGACCTTAATGAATGGATAGTCAGGCTTAGTTAAAAGCTAGACATTATCCATTTGGTGAGAAATCTTAAAATAGAAAATAAATGCTAAGAGCTGTTAAATATTTTAATGGCTGCAGACATTGTTATATTGGTTGTCTCAGCAGTGTAAGGATCTTGCCTGTGGTAAGAAAAAAAAAAAGACACAGTACTGGCTCTGGGGTTGGTTGACAGAGTGCTGGTGTCACTGAAATTCCTCTATTTACTTGATGTGAATATTCTTGTGCTTTGGATTTCTTTTATCCAGAGTGTTAGTATAGCTTGTCCCAGTCATTCTATATTTACGGCTGAAATGCCTGTAGAGGTGCTGCAGGATGAAAAACATAAGGGGATTCTTAGTTCTGATTCAGAGTCTGAAATATCTGATGCTGATGATCTAGACTATGTGCCACGAGGTCAATCTGGAGAGGACATCAGACAGGACAATCGAAGATAAAGAGGTGCAAGTTCTGCCCAGCTGCCGAAGGCAGAAAAGTCAATAGCTGGTGTTCTATGTGCAAGAGGCCTGTGTGCAAGCGTAAACGTGCAGTTGTCATTTGTGATAAACATAAGCACTGAGATGGCACTGTTCCTGTGTAATTTTATTTTGTCAGTGTTTTGTTCTTATATTGATAACATTCATTCAATCATTCCTTCATTTTCTTTTCAGCTTAGTCCATTTATTATTCTGGGGTCGCCATAGCGGAATGAACCGCCAACTCATCCAGCATATGTTTTACGCAGCGGATGCCCTTCCAGCTGCAACCCAACACTGGGGAAACATCCATACAATCTCAATCACAGTCATAATAAATGATAAAAATTTCAGCTTGTTATTATTTATCAGTGATTGAAATGTGTGGAAAAATGTTAAATAAACATATTCCAGATCTTAAATGTGTTTGTCTGAATAACTGCTAAAACATTATTCTTTTATTAAGGCATATGCATTACAGTAACACTACAGTGATAACATTCATTCAATCATTCATTCATTTTTTTCCGGCTTAGTCCCTTTACATATGTGGGGTCACCACAGCAGAATGAACCGCCAACTTATCCAGTACATTTTTACACAGCGCATGCCCTACCAGCTGCAACCCATCTCTGGGAAACATCCAAACACACTCATACACAACGGACAATTTAGCTTACCCAAGTCACCTGTACCACATGTCATTGAACTGTGAGGGAAACCGGAGCACCCGGAGGAAACCCACGCGAATGCAGGGAGAACATGCAAACTCCACACGGAAACGCCAACTGACCCAGCTGAGGCTCGAACCAGCTGCCTTTTTGCTGTGAGGCGACAGCACTATCTACTGCGCCACTGCGTCGCCCTGTATTGTATTTTACTTATTTATTGTTTTTTCATGTTTTCACAGGTGGGTCATTTTTGACCCATGTGTGTAAAATTGATGTTGTAATACAAAACCTAAGAAAATCAATAATTTATGGTGAATGAAAAAAAATATTTTGAATATTGATGGATAATTAAATTCATGTATAAATGAATATATAATGCTGAAATAAATATTGCTTTTAAAAGATGAAACCAAAAAATGCCCAGGGAAAAGAGAAAATAACATAGGAAATGAATACGGGTTATTTCAGACCCATTTAGTGCATTAGAAGGGGTTTTTATAGCTTGTGTATCGAAGAGTTAAAAACTATACTGCATAGTTTTTATGCCTTATTAATAAAATATTAAATAACTTTACTGTAAATCACTGTATTTTCACCAAATTCAGTCCACACATCAACACTGTCCTGATGGTTATACTAAAAAACTTCTGTTAAAAAAAAATATATATATTAATAATTTTTATGAAGTTTTGGTATGAAAAATATTTAATAACTTTAATGTAAATCATTGTATTTTCATCCAATTCAGTCCACACATCACTGCTGTCCTAAACATTGTCCCTGTTAATCACTGCTTCCTGAGCATTGTCCCTATTAAACAAATAAATTCAAATTTAAATAAAGAACAGGTGCTAAACTGGCAGTATGTTTTTTGTCCATATGAGACCTTTAGTGAAAAAACGGAGAAAAAAACAATACAAAAAAGGCGCGCCGTCTAGTGGTATTTTTAAAACAACCTCAGATGGAACAAGTAATTTCAAAACAATAGACAAAACATCTGTGGAGAAACTTACGGTAAAAGACGTACTCAGTGTAACTTGACCATATCTTGTCGTCTGTATGCTGGTTGATAATTGAGGCTGTCACAGACGAGTTACATGCGACCATCTGAAAACCACACTCCGAGAGCATGTCGAAAGAGCGCTCAAGGTGCTTGAACTTTAGGTAAAAGCGGGATGTGTACTTATCAGCTGTCCTGTCAGGGTCCCTGCTTTCGTTTAGGGTCTCGCCAAAAACTTCTTTGGCCAGGGCAATCCTGCCGCATATCATAATCCGAGGCACCCTCCGGAATTTGGCATCGGTTCGATTTTCCCTACCCATTGTACAAGACCCGCGATATCCGACGGTTAAGAATCCGCTTTTTCTGTCGGCGAGAATGAGTGACGGCGGAGGACACATTCGCTGATCGCTTCCTTGAGACCCGTCCTCGTAATCACTGTGGATATATTCATCGGAACTAGGTTTTAGGTCGTCAGGGGTTAAGAGTTTAACCAAGTCAGGCAATTGAAAGTATTCCGCTTCTTTCCTCAGCCTTCCTTTCTCTGGAAAGTGGTCAGGAAGAACAACCTGTTTATCCCTGAGGTAGTCTAACACGTATCTGAACAAAAAACCATCCCGGTCGATGAAATAACGACCTTTAGGGTCCCTGGCAAGATCATTCGATGCATTATTTTTGGGAGAGAATATTTTTCCCAAAAGAGAGCCAGGGGTATTGATTAACGTAGTATAACGTGTATAATAGACTTGTCCCCCCACGTTTAATTCAATAACATCTGGAAAAGAGCTGTCTTTAGGTTTAGAATTTCCACTCAACGCCATCGTTTCAGTGATGGGTGCAAATAACAACAAAGTTCTGCTCTTTTCCAATGATCCACAGATTCGGGAGTGTTTTAGGAAACGTCGATTTTTATGCACATTAAATTGCAAAAGAAATCACATTTCAAATCTGAACCGATAATTGCACATATTTTTAAATGCACATATTCTCCACAGGGCTCAAAAAAAGAGAAAGAGCAAAATATCCGAGGAACTGCACACCTACATCCTAGAGTCGAAGAATTGGTAGCTCAGCAGGGCACACAGCGAAACACTGGGGTGTGCTTCCTTGCCTGAAAAAAAAAAACTAGTGCATTTGCATAAGCATTTAAAAACATCATATAATAAAACCATTTAATCTTTCAAGGAGAAACAAAGTTTATTCCAAATTAAGCAACGATCTGAATCCAACTTTTGCCGACCAAAGAGAACAGATTACATAGTTTCAAAAGATAAAATCTGACGACAGTTTCAGCACAATAGGGTTGATCAATAATCCAAGCGGTTAAGAAAAAAATTGAGTGTGTGATCCTCTGGAATAATCCAGGTGTTGTGCGTTGGTGGGGTTTATGGTGAAAGATGATGCAGCATCATACTCTGTGCGCTCGCGATCGAGGGCTGTGGCACGAGAAAATAACTGCCTCAGCTGTTGTTGCCTCGGCGGGAGGAGGAAAAGAAACATAATGGGTTATCAAAAATTACATCATCTTAAAGACGTATGCACACAATACCGTGGTGTTGCGGGTATTCACACCATTGTTTGATATAGGCAGTCAGCTTTGTTAGCTAGTTTATGCAGACAACATCAGATCCTTTCGTGCATTCCAGCTTCAAATAACAAAAAAAGTAGGGTACTACCAGGTTGTGTCGAGTGGAGTAATCCGCTGATTTCAGAACCATGGACAGTGAAAACAAGGTTCCATCAAAGTTCTTTAAAGCATCAACATTACACACTATTAATGAAATTCATAAGCGATGTATGCATACAGTTTTATTATGTTTCTATTATTGTATTCATGTTATAATGCTCTAAATGTGTTTGTCTGTTTAAGTCAAAGAAGTGTCGGCCGTCAAATAACAAATGGTCGCTATTTTAAAAACAAAGAACACCTTAAATATAGCGTCTACTTTCATGTTTAAGTAATCTACTGTTTCCTATAATGTTTGTTTATGTCTCAGCACACATCTACACGTTTCTTTTTTTTCTTTTGCAATATTAAATACACGCTTTTATAAAATGTGTATATATTAGGTGAAGTCAGAATTAATAGCCCCCCTTTGAATTTTTTATTGTTTTTTTGCTTTTTTAAATATTCCCCAAATTATGTTTAACAGAGCAAGGAAATTTTCACAGTATGTCTGATAATGTTTTTTCTTCTGGTGAAAGTCTTATGTGTTTTATTTTAGCTAAAATAAAAGCAGTTTTTAATTTTTTTAAACACCATTTTGAAGACAAAATTATTAGCTCCTTTAAGCTATCCTTTGAGCTATCCTTTTTCGAAAGTCTACAGAACAAACCATCTTATAAAATAAATTGCCTAATTATCCTAACCTGCCTAGTTAACATAATTAACCCAGTTAAGCCTTTTAAAGTCACTTTAAGCTGTAAAGAAGTGTCCTGAAAAAATATCTTGTCAAATATTATTTACTGTCATCATGGCACAGATAAAATAAATCAGTTATTAAAAATGAGTTTGTAAAACGTTTAGAAATGTGTTGAAAAAAAATCTTCTTTCTGTTAAACAGAAATTGGATAAAAAAATAAACCGGTTGCTAAAAGTTCAAAGGGGCTAATAATTCTGACTTCAACTGTATATATAGGAGGACGGGAGGATATGTCTCCCTCACTTTTAGAGACAAACCATTTAGAAACAGGTGATTAAGAATGTACTTTTGGATTTCATACAGCTATCCCCCCACTTTTAAAATGTCTACTACACCCCTGTGTATATATATATATATATATATATATATATATATATATATATATATATATATATATATATATATATATATATATATATATTATTATTATTATAACTATTATTATTATGCCTATTATAAACTTTGCATTTGATAAGAGTCTAGGATCAAGGCCAGTCGCTTGGGAATTTCCAAAAATATTATCAAATTTTATCAATTAACATGTTTTATTTGTGACCTCTGGGGTTATTATGCTATATTAACTTCACAGCAATAGCATTAGTTGCAGCAGATTGATTTTTTTTAATACTTTAAAAATTAAGGCCACGACTGAACAAGGAGGATGATCTCTAAGTCTCCAAAATTAAACCAAGAATAGTCTTTTCCACATTGTGCTCACCATTCTCATTAAGTGAAGTTAATATTAAATAAACAAATGAATAATGATTATTTAAAAAGATATGGTTGTAAGACTGTTGCACTTTTTTTGTGTTGCCAATGCTTATGTTTATATAGTTGCTATTGGTGTGTGTGCACCATTGTGCGCAATATTTGTGTGCTTATAACAACCTCCGAGCATAGTGGGGGTCGCGAGCCACTGGAGTTGTTATTTTAGGGGTCGCAGGCTGAAAAGTTTGAGTACCCCTATAGGCCAAAAAACACCTGCAGCGCTATCTGCCGGCAACAAGTAAGATTTGAAAACACCAATACCCAGAATAGAATGATTACCTCTTGACTCTAAATTAATATTCAAATATTACTATTACAATTATTACAAATAATGTTTTACAGTGAATTATACACTTCCAAATGAGAACCAAGTAATTAACATCCTTATTTTTATCATCTTAAAAAAAATCATAAATATATCATTAGAAGACAAGATTTTTTTTTTGTGACAAGCCCATAAACTATTAAAGAAAATAGATGCTATCAAACATTTAAAAAATAATAAAAAACCCTTGAAACAGATGGGTTGGTATCAGAGTTTTATAAAACTTCGCCCAACAGATGGCGCGCTTTCTTACTGCATGTAGCCTATTTACAGTTTTTCCCAATCGCTATGACAGTTTTTTCAATACATTTAAGAAGTTTCTCTTAACTCTTAACACGGCTGCATCAAAGCAATCAAAAAAAACTGTAACTTGCCTAATTATCCTAAACTGCCTAGTTAACCTTAACCTAGTTAAACCTTTAAATGTCACTGTAAGCTGTAAAGAAGTAGCTATCTTGAAAAATATCTAGTCAAATATTATTTACTGTAATCATGGCAAAGACAAAATAAATCTGATACATGTTTTAGTATTATGGCAAAGCATTCTAAAGTTGGGGGTGCTGTTCATTATAGTGTGTAGTTGAATAGGCAAAAATCTGGTAATATGAATTAAATGTGTACCATTTCGTGCAAAAGTTTAATTTTGATAATGCTGTGTGTAGTTTTGGTTGCAGTGTTTCATTTTGCAGGATATATGAGGTATTTTGCAGTTTGGGTGAGTGGTTTTGTGAATTGTGTTAGGTATTTTGATAAAACCAGACTGGTTTGAAAAATTGTGTGCTAGCATTTTGTAAAAAAAAATGTAAACATAATACTATAATAAATAATAAGAGGGTTTCTCTTTCTCCCATAGAGGACGCACGCCAGTTTTGTGTTGTCTGTCTATGAACGCACCATAGATATTTACATTAGATGTCGCCTACCCTGTTGTTGTCTAAAGGAAGGAACGCGTCAATAGAGCCGCCTTTTTAGTACAGGGTAGTGCTCCCTTGAAATGAATGCGCAACCAAGCTGTGGCCACCCAGAGCCAGAGGTATAAACACATACACATAGCCTATTTCTATGATCGGCCCTACTGAAAATACCAGCTTAAACCAGCCTAGGCTGGTTGGCTGGTTTTAGCTGGTCGACCAGGCTGGTTTTAGAGGGGTTTTGGCCACTTCCAGGCTGGTTTCCAGCCATTTCCAGCCTGGTCTTAGCTGGTCAGGCTGGGAGATGACCAGCTAAAATCAGCTTGACCAGCCTAGCCAGGCTGAGAGCCCAGCCAAAACCAGCTATGTCCAGCTTAAACCAGGCTGGTCAAGCTGGTTTTAGCTGGATTAAGCTGGTCATTTTTCAGCCTGACCAGCTAAGACCAGGCTGTAAATGGCTGAAAACCAGCCTGGAAATGGCCAACACCCCTCTAAAACCAGGCTGGTCAACCAACTAAAACCAGCCAACCAGCCTAGGCTGGTTTAGGCTGGATTTGTCAGCAGGGGGGAGTTTTCCCGGTGGTCATTGTGCATATTTTTTTTTAAATTACGAAAATTATAATTTTACATTTCTTTTCTACATTGATAGATAGTGACTGCACGGGCATTACTGACAAGGAGCGAGTGTTTGTGTGCATGGAAATGTATTATCCTCCCTCCCTGTTAAATTTGATCTAATCCATGTCCTGAAACACACCTCTTCTCCTGCTTTTACTTCTCATTCTAACCGAGGGAGCGATTCATTTGTGAGTTAATCTCCGTTATGAACAACTCATTCACTACAATACAAGTTTCTAGCAGCGCAGCATCTTGTTGTCATATTTCTTTTTCATTGTTTGCTTATTTTATTCAACAAAACCAGCATAAGCCTAGTGTTCAGTGCGAGTTGGTGCTACTTTGCCTTATGGTGAATGCTGTAGGTCAGGGGTTCCCAAACTTTTCAGCCCGCGACCCCCAAAATAACAATGCCAGTGACTCGCGACCCCCAATATCCTCTGAGGTGGTTATAAATACAGAAACATTGCATGCAATGACGCAGACACACCAATTAAATTTGTGTCAGTGCTTAAAATGTGCCAGAAAGTATAACCTGATGTTATAAAATCAAAATGCATCTGACGCTATTGCTGCCTTTAATATAATGTAATTACCCCAGGGGTCGCAATCCAATAGAACTAGTAAATATAAGCTACTATAGTAACTATATAGTGTATAGTAACTACAAATGACAATTTTTATTTTCAGTATAGTTATGGATAAAATATGTTAATTCTTATGGTTTAATAAAAATAAATAGATTTTTGGAAATCACCAGGCGACGACCCTTCATTGCCCCGCGACCCCTCGGGGGGTCCCGACCCCCACTTTGAGAACCACTGCTGTAGGTGACTTTAATATCCTCAATAAACGGTACTTGTTGATCACAAATGTTCGTAACATAGAAAAACGTAAAAAACAAAATCTTACCTATAAAATGTGAATGCCTTTATGCCAGGGGTCAGCAACCCGCGGCTCTAGAGCCGCATGCGGCTCTTTAGCGCTGCCCTTGTGGCTCCCTGGAGCTTTTTCAAAAATGTTTGAAAATGCAAAAAGATGGGGGAGGTTAATATATTTTTTGTTTTAATATGATTTCTATAGGAGGACAAACATTTTTAACGTTTTCAAATGCTGTCAAAGTGTGTAGAATTGATATTTAATTTCAACATTTCTGTCAACGAAGATTTGACAGAATCACACGTTTCTATCAGCAGGGTGGGATGCCAGGCAGGTGGCTGTTGTAAACAAACCAGGAGATAATAAAGCATGGAAAACCGTTCAAAGATGGTATGACATATTAGAACACCTATTTGCAAACTTTAAAAACAAAACCAAGATAATACAAAAAAATAAAGATATACCTTTCTCTGCTAAGACAGTAAAGGAAAGGGCTATTAAAATGGTAGGTAACATCACCGATCAGCAAACCAAGGACATTAATTCAGTGCTAGCATACTCAATTGCCTGTGATGTGACCGATATTCAATGCGCTTTTATGCAGGTATGTGAACTCTGATGGGCCGCAAGAAGAAATGATCAAATTAATAACACTAAAAGACAAGAGGCTGTGCTGAAGTGTTTTAATGACAACAAAATAAACACCAACCACCTGATTTCAGTGGCTATTTAATCATGAAGGCTCATTATGTATTTGTAGCCAACTTAGTCATTTTGATAGTAGGCTAATATAGTTAATATAGATACATACAGCATGTGTTTCCTTCATTATAAGGCTTATATAAGGCTTTACATTTTTTGTGGCTCCAGACATATTTGTTTTTTTTTTTTTTTTTTTGGTCCAATATGGCTCTTTCAACATTTTGGGTTGCCGATCCCTGCTTTATGCCATGCTTTGTTTTCTCGGTACTATACACAGCACTGTCTTGATTCGTTCGGTTGAATGACATTTCTGCTGGGAGCCCTGTACAAATGTGGCGTCAGCATCACATATGCTCAGCATCCGTATGCGATATCTAGTGTATATACCTATGTAAACGCACAAGGCAACGTCACATCTTATTTATTCCAACGACCCGGAAGTTCTTCTGCTATTTTTTGACACGTAGTTAGCGGTGTTGGCGGAGTCCTGGACCATTAGCGGTGTGAGTAAAACAGGGCAATTCAACTCATTGCTTCTCATTATTTTTTTTAGCTGTATTGCATGTTGAAAGTTATGTTTTGGACTGGTTGAATGGCGCTGGCAGTAACTGAATATAACGTTTCAGCGTCTTAGTCTATACCTGCTAACTTAACCCAAACAAAGCAAACGTTTATGCCAACATCACCTCACATTTGTAATAAACAAATGAAAACGTTAAACATTTTTGTAAACATAAACGGTTTATTGCTGTTTTTCTATGTCAAAGCGCAGTGATAGCAATGTCATAACGTTAGTTCTTTCTAATAAATCTGGTTTTGGTTGTTAGCAGATTAAGGACGATAACTTATGTCCTATATTCGGTCTAAAACACAGTCAAGTATGAGTTTAGTTAACTTAGCACTTTATTTGACTTGAACAATGTCGTACTTTGATATTTATAGGCTGCTAGTACGATTTCACTATTATAGAGGTAACGTTAAAGTTGGTTTTATATTCGCACATTTGGACTTTCCCCTTAATAATATAACTTCATGAAAGTATTATTTGCAAACTCTAAATAGCGAAATCAAATTAGCAGCCAATGACTATCAAAGTACAACATTGTTCACAGTCAAATAAACAGTATTAATGTTGTTTTCAAGTCACACTTACATGCTAATTCCAATCGAATATTCAAAGTAAGATGGTAAACAATATAGAGAAAGCTAAATGAACTAATATGTGGATATAAAACCAACTTTACCTCTATTTCACTATTTATTATTTGCAAAGAATAATTTTCAGAAATAATAATATTAAGGAGAAAGTCCGAATGTGTGAATAGAAAATCAACTTTAATGTTACCTCAATCCAACATAGATAGAGGTAAAGTTGGTTTTATATTTGGTTATTCAGACATTCTCCTTAATAATATGATTTGAGAAAAGTATTCTTTCCAAATTCTAAATAGGGAAATCATATTAGCATCAATGATTATCAAAGTACAACCATGTTTACAGTCAGTTAGATAGTGCTAATGTTGTTTTAAAGTCATACTTGCATGCTAATTCTGACCGAATATTCAAATTAGGGTGGTAAACAACATTTAAGACAACATTAACACTATCTAATTGAATAGAGGTAAAGTTGGTTTTATATTTGCATATTCTAACTTTCCTCTTAATATTATAATTTCATAAAAGTATTATTTGAAAACTCTAAATAGCGAAATCATATTAGCAGCCAATGACTATCAAAGTGCAATTAAGGTAAAGTTTTATATTCGCACATTCGTTCATGTAACTGTCTCTATATTGTTTACCACCCTAATTTGAATATTCCGTCAGAAATAGCATGCAAGTATGATTTCAAGGTTTTATTTTCCACATTTAAAGTACAAAGCATGTTTACAGCTCAATATTTTTCTGGTCGACTCTGTGGTCTGTGGAAATAAAAGTTTCAAATATGCTTTCTATGCGAATGTATGTTTTGAGTATTCTCATATTTTTAAGATATTGCAGGTTTGAAATGACATAAGGGTGAATAATTAATTACATATTTTTTTTATGAATCATTTCTTTAAATAACATAAAAATGTAATGAGCTCAGCTTAATCATTTTTAATAAAACTGTCATGTTTTTTTTCTTTCTCATGTCTTTTAGGCAACTTGCAATGTCAGGATTTGACAACTTCAACACAGACTTTTATCAGTCTAGTTACAGTGTAGATGATCAGAACCAAGGAGGATATGGCTACAGCAACACAGATGAGCCCTACAAGTAGGCCTGAGCTTTACACAAAGTTCATGATGTTGTTTTACACAAGGATCTAAATTGTGACCATGCTGTTGTTTTTTAACCAATTTAACAAAAGCAAATAGTTTTGCCTAAAGGAAAAGTTCTAAATAATTGGATCATGTTAATTTTGTATGTTTCACAGCTTTTCGACTGGCTGCCTTTCACTGAATTGATCAGAAAGTTTTTAATAGCAGTTATTGTTATAAATGTTTTACTGTATAATCAGGGTTTATGCGGGGTCTTGAAAAGTCTAAAATGTAAAAATCATAATTTTAGGCCTTAAAAAGTCTTAAATTCACTGTTCTAGGTTTTAAATATTTTTGCACAGGTCTTATTTTTTATGATGTCCATGTGACACTACATCTAATACTCATTTAAATTCTTTTTTATTGTTGTTGCTCGGTTTTTGTGGTGTTTTAGTTCTTTACTTCACTAGTGCAAATGTAATTTGCGGGATTACAACTACAAATGAGACCAACATGCAATAGCCAATCAGCTTTCTGTTATTGAACTCAGTGCACGCAGCGAATGTGATGTCATTGCTGTGTTCTGAATTGTTAGTGACCTTCTTGCTGTGAGGCGACAGCTCTAACCATTGCGCCACCTCGTCGCCCAACTTTGTAATCATTATAATAAATGAAAAAATAATACAAAATAATTAGTTCTTGAACAATCTTGAACAACATTAATAATATGACGTAGTTTCAGAAACTTCCTAATTCTCTGTTTAACCGTCTAACCGTCGTAAAACTGTAAAATGTAACTAATATTGGTTTACTGTTATAGGACTCGGCAACGTTTGAAAAATATTAATAATGTTTCATATCCATAATTTTAACATTTTGTATAATGTAACAAAAAAAAGCAGAGCAGTAGAAACAATAATGTAACATTTAGCTAGCTACCTACATAAATTATTTAAGAGGTGCTTCTTAATGTTATAAAAGTTTTTTTTTTTTTTTTTTTAACACTTAAATAAATAAAATCTACAGCTTCAGGGCTCAACAGCAAGGATTTTTGCATTCAAATGCTATTTTTAATTTACTGACTAATAAATGTTTTTTTTCACAATTTTTTAATCACAGGCAGGCATATCACTATGTTCTGGTACCATTTGTTGTCAGTCATAGCAAGTGCCCTAAATTAAACCAGAGCATCACTTTTACAAGCATTTTTTTTCTAATATAGTTATCAATGTGTACCATCAATGCATTTCCATACTATTTCATCACCCATATTTTATAATGATGTTTGTATCATTACTTTAGGAAATATGTTCTTCTGAACAATAATAATAGACATTTATTTCTGTTGTTTGTCCAATTTGTAGACATTTATAAAG